GCCATGTGGTACCTACCGTCACGGTCTTGTCTTAAGAAGTCTTGCGACCAAGTTGCGGATGGGAGGGTGGGATGTTTGCACGACGGGTAGTAGAGAGGACAGCTTCAAGACGGTCAAAATGAAATGCACCCCTCAGATAGCACCGCGACTTTGGCTCCACATAGATTGTTCGAGATATATTGAATCCAAGATCGCCCAAGAGGTTCCCAGCAGGGTCCCAAGACGGCCCTAACGCGCTCCAAGAGGACACCACGACAGCTCAGAGAGGCTGGACGCAAACATTGGACGCGGAGCTTGACGAATTTCATTCATCAGCGTTGGGTGGATGTTGGGACGAAGCTCAGATCTACAGCGGTGGGAAGAAGGGCTGCCTAACCCCATACCCACGATGATAATGTACCCCCCCTATACACATAAGAGTTGATCATCCACGGCCAATAAAAGAGTTTGGTCGGGGGCGCGGGGGCGCGGAGGCCGAACTTCATTATCACCTGAAAAGTTCGCCGTCGAGGTTATGTCCTTCTTATGTTGAGGTAGCAACATGAAGCGAAGCGAACACGCTTTTTTTTTTCAGAATGTCTCAAGCGAAACCAACAATTTTGGGAGGCCGTCTCAACCGAAACGGTCAATGTTTCAAGGATGTCTCAAGCGGGACCAGCAATTCATCGAGGATGTCTCAAGCGAAGCGAGAAACTTGTCGAGGATGTCTCAAGCGGAACAAGCATATACTCGAGGATGTCTCAAGCGAAACAAGCATACACTGAAGGACGTCTCGAGCGAAACAGTACGTTTTTTAAGGATGTCTCCTTCTCCTCTCCTCCTAATCCTCCTCCTCCTCCCCCTGGCGCCCTCAACTTGTTTATCGATATGGTTGATTATCCGGGAAAAACGAGGCAGATGAGCCACCCTACACGAGCAGATGAAAATCTTAATTCCCATTAAGCGCTTACAAATAAAATCTAATAAGTTTTGACCTTTGGATTGTTTCTTCCTCCTTCTCATCTTCCTCTCTCCTCTCTCTCTCTCTATCCGTCTCTCTCTGTCTCTCTCTCTCTCTCTCTCCATCTTGTCATATTTATTTATCAACCTCTTTCTCTCTTTCTCTCTGTCTCTCTATCTGTCCTCTGTCTCTCTCTTTCTCTTTCTCTTTCTTTCTCTCTCTCAACCTTTCTCCTTCTTTCCGTGCCCCCCTGAACTTTTTTATCGCTGTGGTTGACCATCCTGGGAAAACAGGGCAGATGAGCTACCCTACACGAGCAGATGAACATCTTAATTTCCGTTGAGCGCTTACACATAAAATCTATTAGGTTTCGTTTGGACGGTCCTCGACGAGCACGCTCGTCGAGTACCGCCCAAACGAAACAAACACGTTCTGTGAAGACGTCTCAAGCGAAACGAGCAGTAAAAAGGAACTCTCAAGCGAAGTAAACAAATACTTCGAGGATGTCTCAAGCGAAACGAGAGATTTGTCGAGGATGTCTCAAGCGAGACAAGCCATTGTTGAGGATGTCTCAGAGAAGACAAAAAACCAAGGATGTCTCAAGGTATCCTCGGCTTTGGCTCCTCTGTTAACATCTTTATGCTGGCCTCTGGTGGATAGTTTTCTTATCGCACCGTAACCGCCGAACTTTATTATCCCAGGGTGTTTATTATCGGCTGTTTGGGGTTATGTCGATATGGATACAGGCAGCTACAAACTCAGACTGGTGACAACACTCTTTCCTCACAGAGAAATGCGATGACCTTCTTGTTCTTTTGGCGCATGTGGTTCAGGATGGCCGCAGGACTGTACATACGAACATCATTGGGACCGATGCGAACGCAATCGTCGGGGTTAAAACTTTCACGGATTCGACTGATATCATCGGTGAGTACGTTGGTCGCAGATGCGGCAGGGGAACTGTTCTGACCGAGTGGCTAATTACACGGACCAAGGCTCGCAGCTGTTACAACATTTACTCCCTAAGCTGAGGGAGACAAGTGGACGCACATCATGTGGAGCACAGGAGATAAGAGGCAGATTGATTATTTGTTTGTTGATGAAATTGCAGCTGGAACCTTCCGCCGGTGGAGTATTGCAGCTTTCTGGAAAGGAAATCTGACCATCGAGCTTTCGTGGCAGACTTGACTATTACAAGACGTCCTATGAGACAACGAGGTCCCAAACTGAGGGTGGGATGCAAGCCTGGAGAAATCGGCGAGCCAGAGGCGTTACATAACGGCCTTGACCGTATCCTCGAGCATCATGACCCGACAGAGGATCCAGCTGACAAGGTGGTTTGGGTTGCTCCGCGCACGGGTGAAGACAAACCAATTGCCATCCGCCCCAAGCATACTCAAGAAATAAAGAGTCTCTTCGAGGCGAAGCGGACCCGGAGAGGCGGCGAGATCTCTCCAAACGACTCTGAAGGCCCTGCGTCGACAGCGACGGGAAAAGCAGGACGAGGCGTTGGAATCGTTGGTGGTCAAGGGTTCTGGTCTGAGGGCACTGCGCCGGTTTCAGTAGAGACACAGGGGCATCGACCGGATGTTGCTCGTCAAAGGCCAGAACGGCGTTGCTCAGAAGGACCTGGCGTCGATCTGCGAAATGTTCGCCCCATTCTGCGAGGACCTGTGCCATGAGGAGGAGGGCAGCGGTGGCGCACCCACGACCAACGAGTACAGCGACATTGTCACAGAGGCGGAGCTGTTGAAGGCGATTCGAAAGCTAAAGCGTGGCAAAACAGGGGCAGACGATGGGCTGGTGGCAGAAATGTTGAACACCGAACATTTCCAGTGAATGCACATCATCTCAGAATTCTCCACGCAATTGCTCCAAAGATCTCTGGCGCCTCCAGGGGAATGGAAAACAACGGAGTCCCGGGTCCTGTTCAAGCAAGGCGACCCGTCCCTCCACAAAATCTATAGACCCATTGCTTTGATCCCGGTGATGGCAAAATAGTTTAGCACAGTCCTGCATCAACTGATGTCATCGGACATTGACTCCAAGTTATCTGAGGAGCAGTTCGGTTTCAGACCTGGCAGAGGGTGCTCAGATGCAGTTCGCATTGTTCGCAGTATCGTTGAGAAGTCTTTAGAATGGGGCGAAGAACTGGGGGTTGCCAGTCTGGACGTGGGAATAGCGTTCGACAGAGTCCAGCATGCTGCGTTGTTCGAGGCGCTCATGAACAACGGCATTTCTGCGTCTGCGGCACACGCCTTGCGACACCTGTACCACGGGGTCCAAGGATATGTTTCTGATTGGGACGGCGCGGACAGACGGCGTTTCCTTGCGCAGAGGGGCGTGAAGCAGGGCGACCATTTGTCGCCAATGGTCAATCTCGTTCTCGACGGAGTGCTGCGCGAGGTGAGCGTGATCCGGAGGAGGCGAGGCTACGGCACTGTTGTTGAGCAAGACCTCAAAGGCCACCGTCTGACCCGCGTGGCCTTCGCGGATGATCAGGCGCTGATTGCGCGGAGCTGGCTGTCTATGAAACGGATGATTCTGACGTTGAGGGATTGTCTCGCGTAGAGGGGGCTGTCCCTGCAAACGAGCAGGTGCAAGGTGCAGACCAACCGCCAAGACATCAAGCACAGAGGCCAGGTCTCTTTGGCCGATAACTCGTACATCGATGACCTGAAGGAAGGAAAGCCCCTGGAACTACTTGGAACTGTAGTTTCTCTGGAAGACGCCATCAGGGAAGAGATCGAGAATCGCTTCGCGGCCGGGTGGCGGAGATCTTAGGATCTGAAGCGTCTGATATTGACTAAATCGTATTCATTGAGATCGCGCTTGAAGCTGCTTGATGCCACGGTCACGGAGAGCGTGCTGTGGGCAGCTGAGTCGTGGACACCGCGATCAGCAGAATTGCGAGACTCCAGGCTACGCAGAACGCAATGCTTCGGCGCATCGTTGCCTGCCGGCGGAAAGCGGGCGAACAGTGGGTGGAGTGGGTCCAACGAGCCACTCACATAGCGAGGGAGCCAGCAGGCAACGCCCGCATCAAAAGAATGGGTACCAGAGCATGTTCGGCGGAAGTGGAAGTTCGCCGCCAAACTTGCAACATCGAGCTATTCAGCCTGGGCTAAGAAGTTGATCATCTTGAGAGATTCGGAACGGCAGATCGCTGTGTCCGAGTTGGGATCTTAGAGGCTTACCCGCCCGTCATCACGGCCGTGGATGAGGTTTGAAGACCCTTGTGCGGAAATTATGTGCAGCACAGGGCCTGCGAAGCCGGCAGGCAGTAGCGAAAGTGGCGCAAGGATAGCGAAGCAGAGCTGAAGACTTCGTGCGCTGGGCTGCTGACTTTCACTGGTGATCCTCCTCCTCCTCCTCCTCCTCCTCCTCCTCCTCCTCCTCCCCGTCCCCAAGCGCGGGGGGCGGCAACGCGGCGGCAACGTGGCGGCCAAGCCTTGGCGGACCCGCCAAGCGCGGGGGGGGGCAACGGGCGACCGCGTGGCGAAAACGAGGCAGACGCCAAGAGCGCGGTGGGCTGCAGCGGTGCGGCAACGGGCGGCAACGTGGCGAAACCTCTGCGGACCCATCCAAGCGCGGTGGGCGGCAACGAGGCGGCAACGAAAAGCAGCGTGGCGAGAGGTCGACGGACCCATCCAAGCGCGGTGGGCAGCAACGAGGCGGCAACGAGACGGCAACGGGCGGCGGCAACGAGGCGGCAACGGGCGGCAACGTGGCTAAACCCCAGTGGGCCCATCAAATTTCTTTTTGAACGAAGTGAGAACCCCTAAATGCAAGCACTGCTTGGGAAAACCGGCGATTAAAACAGAACCGTCTCAGACAGAACTGTTCGGGGAGCATTCTTCGCACACCTCGACGGGCTCTCAGAGCGGCACGTGATGGCTCCATCCGCAGACCAGGACGCTGAGTAATTGCTCGCGCTCGCTCGCTCAAGTGCTCGCGCACGCTTTTCGGCGGGCCTCGACTGTTGCGCACCATCGCCGCTCTCCCCCGCCGTCTCGACGGCGGCGCCCAGCCTCAGACCAGCACGGGCCGCGGCGCGGCCTCAGCCTCCTCGGCGGGCCTCGCGACCGGGCCGTTCAGCACGAAACCCCCGTCCACCGTGGCGGTCGCGCCCGTCACGTAGCTGGCCATGTCCTGGGGCACGACCGAAATAGGCACGGAAAGAATAGTGACGACTACCAACAGCAGTTCCTGCACCTTTCGGACGAGGCTCGCTGTCGGTGTCGTCGCGGAAGATGTCCGTTTCAGGCAGAAAACCGCCCGCCGCACAGCGGCCGCAGTCGGTTTCGGACCACAACTGCTGTTGGGCATCGTACTCAGCGTTTCCGTGCCCACTTCGGGCGTGCCCGTGTCCGAGGCGAGGAAGGTGATGGGCCCGGCCATCTCCCAGGGCTCGGAGATGCGAGACTGGGGTATCATGGCCTCAAGGGAGCGCCGGGTCGCCAGCCAGACGGGGTCAGTCGGGGAGCGCCCACCCCGGAGCAGCGTCGTGTTCACGGCGCCGGGGTCCAGCGCGGCGACCCGGATCCCGTGGGGGGCATAGCTCAGCGCGGCTTGCCGAGTGGCGGAGATCACGGCGGCCTTGGAGACGCCATAGAGGAAAGGCGGGGAGCAATATGCGACCTCGCCGCAGACGGAAGCGACGTTGACAACCACACCAGATACGGCCGCTTCCAAAAAATGTGATATCTCGGCGTCCATGCACTTCAGCGTGCCAGCCATGTTCACATCCAAGATGCTCTGGTCCTTGAGACTTCCGGAGGGCTCCACAAACCCTGGCGTGCCGATCTGGCCCGAACCCTGCCCGATCCCTGCGTTGTTCACCGCGATGTCCAGCCCGCCGAACTCCTTGGATGAACACGTTCTTGCAGGTCCGCGCGGGTTTCTTGAATCGGCGCTGGGCCCCCTTCCCTGGCGCGCGGAGCGCTCCGGGGGCGGCGCCAGAGGCGCCGCCAGGGGGACCTGGCGCCGACCCAAGAAATCTGCGCGGAACTCCGATACATGATTTGTTCCTCGATTCCTGCAGCATCCGCTTCATTACCGAGGTGACCTGGGACTCGTTCGAGATGTCGGCGGCCGCCCAGGCGACCGACGGCGCACTGCCGGCGCACGCCGCAGGCGTGCCGAGCGCGCTCACCTCGGCGTGCGCGGCCCTCGTCTTGCTCTCGCTGTGGCCCACCATGAGCACCTGCGCGCACTCCAGGTAGAAGGCCTGCACGGCGGCCAAGCCGATGCCAGAGTCGCCCCCCGTCACCTAGAGGCCTCCCAGATGGGGTCCGAGCAGATGGGGTCGGAGGATCGCGCCGCATCGCCGATGCATCGGCGACGTCAACGCGTAGAACATCGAGCTCCAAATCGAGCCGCATCGCCGATACTTCGGCGATGCGGAGCGATCCTTCGACACCGTCTGAGGGGACCCCTCTGGGATGCCTAGATCACCAAGACGCGCTTGGCCCGGAAACGCGGCTGCCCCCACTGGCGCGCCCCGTCAGGCGTCTCTGGCTGGACTGACGGTGCCGGCGCCGGAACGCGGGCTCCAGCAACTCCTCCCAGCGTCGGCGGCGGGCGCAGCGAGGGGGGCGCGGGGTCGACCGGCCCAGGCCGCGCGAGGGTGACGCCCCCGTCCACAGTCAGAATCATGCCCGTGCTGTAGCTGGCCATGTCGGAGGCAAGGAACGAGATGGGCCCCGCGATCTCCCAAGGCTCAGCGATGCTGGAGAAACAAGGAAACTGCACGAACAGAAACTTTCAGGGGTCGGCCAAATTTCTTGGATCGACGCTGGACTCCCCTGGCGGCGCCTCTGGCGCCGCCCCTGACGCGCTCCGCGCGCCAAGGAAATCCGCGGTCCAACGCCTATCTAAGAAATCCGTGCGGGCCTTCAAAAGGTTATGCTTATGCCGTTTTCAGTTCTTCGAGATGCGGCCGATCGGGATGGTGCTCTCCCACGACCTGCGCCTGGCGATCCACCTGGGGTCCGAGGGGGACAGCCCATTTCTGAGCATAGTGGTGTTTACCGCACCTGGCGCGACAGCGTTGATGCGGATGCCCCTGGGGGCATGGTGGAGTGCTGCTTGCTTCGTGAATCCGACCATGGCCCACTTGGACGACGTGTATAGCGGGCCTCCCCAAGCTGTCTCACCAGCGATTGAAGCAATGTTGACAATCACGCCGTTCGTTTCGGTGGCGATCCAGTGCGATATCTCTGCGTCCATGCATTTCAGAGTGCCGGCGACGTTCGTGTTCCAAATCGACTCGTCATAGAGACGCCCAGAGGCGTCCAAGAAACCGGGCTCCCCGACCTGATGCGTCGCACTGCCGGCCGTTCCCGCGTTGTTGACCGCGATGTCCAGACCTCCAAACTCCTGCCCGGGCAGGGAACTCCACGACGGTTAGACTTGCTCTCCCTGCGGGAGGGGGCGTGGAGTGCACCTAGGGCCATCCCTCGATCCTGTCACATGTAATTACGCCATCCTGGTGGTGTACAGGTGAAACCTGTCGAGCAGGGAGGACAAAGGACGGGAAGAGGAAGCGGCACAGTCTCCTCGCCAACGCGTGGCTTTCGCTACCCTGATCCTGGACTATCTGGCCCAGCATGCCCGCGACCTCCGTCGCGTTGGAGACATCCACGGCAGCCCAGGCGACTCCGGGAGGGCTGCCAGCGCACTCCTGCGGGGTATCTGCTGGGGTATGGAGAGCTCCCCGGACAGAAAACTACTGACTCTGGGCCTCAATCAACCCACCTGGAGGATACTCGGCGCGCAGGCGAAGGTGGACACGAGGCTCCCCGGAGCGACATCGGGGGCCGAGGCCGCGCGCCTCCCTTTGGGTCAGCAAGCCGCTGCCGTGGCCCCCCCCCCCACTAGTCTGATCCTGAGGCACGGGCAGGCCGCTGATCTCCTGGAAGGCGGCCCGAGACTTGGCGGCGCTGTGGCCCACCAGAAGCACCTCTTCGGCGAAGGAAGGGGACCCACGAGGAAAACGGGCCCTGCACCCCAGGGACTTCCCCCAGGACCAACTCTTCATCACGAGCAGTTAGTTGACTGCCCTGGGGCCCTGGAGGGGCCCCAATGGGGGCCGAAAGCGGCCAAGAACCTCTGCGCACTGGGCACCTTCTCTTCCAAGGCGACCCTGCAAAATCCTCCCTGGAGCCCGAATGCCAAAGGGAATCCAGCCGTGGCGACGCAGACCCCCCGCCCGTTCCACCATGGCGCAGCCTATGGAGTGCAATATATTCAATGCGATCCAGGTGGCGCAATCTAAGTGATGCAAGCAGTGTGGTGCACTCCGTGCTCTGCAACCTGTGCGGTGCAATCGATGGAATGCAACAATGCGGTGCACTGAACTTTGGCCGCATCCGCGCGTGACGATATCCAAGGCTCGTTCAAACATGCCACCCGTGCACCCGCAACTTGTCGTCCAAACTCAGATGGGCAGCGACAACGACGATGACGATGATGGTGTTCACAACAACGGTGGGGACGATGTCGAAAACGCTTGTGAGTGTGATGAAACTTACGGTGATGATAGTGACGGACGCGATGAAGATGCAGGTGATGATGACTACGGTGGTGCTGGTCAGGATGAGGAGGAAGTGCGCGCACATAAATACGACAAGGGCGACGATGTAAAACATGACAATATGGCATGACGATGGTGACGGCGGCAATGATGACGACGACAGTGATGAGAATGACGATGGCATTGGTGACGCTGGCGATTGTGATAACGATTGTTGTAATGAGGATGATCCAGCACCGCGATAGCATAAGTTCTGAATTTCGGGCGTAGCTTGATTGACAAGCAATTTTCTTGGTATCCCTATAGCTTTTGACCATATATCTGTTGATGCAGCCGCTTAGAAGGCAAATGTGCTGCAACCTTTAGAAGGGGCCCTGGGACACACAAATAAACAAACACAGAGAAGAGGATTTCCCATATGTTCTTATATGTTGTGGGCTTTCGTCTTCCCCCCCATTATCCATATTTTCCCATATTTCCGACGGAATCGACAATTACTTGTGTCTGTGTTTTTCTCCTCCTGAAAACGCATGCATCGCAGAAGCGCGCAGCATCGCCATCCACCGCACGGGGCGGCCACGAGACGGCCACCGCGCGATCATCTGGAGAACCCGGCCAACGCACGGGGCGGCCGGGCACGAGACGGCCACCGTGCAATAACCTGGAGAACCCAGCCAACGCACGGGGCGGCTACGAGGTCATTGGCGACCACGCGCGAAAACCCGGAGGTCCCACCCAAATGCTCAAGACACAAGCAAAAAGCCTCAGTGTACGCGCTGTCTCGGAAACAAGAACCTCGATCTCCGACCCCCGTCCAAAGAATCAGGCCAAAAAATCTCGATCCTTCACAAGCGCCAAAAAACCTTAGCACATTCCAGGTAGAAGGTCTGCACGGCAGCGAAGCCGATGCCGGAGTCCCCGCCGGTCACGAGGACCCGCTTGCCCCTGAAGCGAGGCTGCCCCCAATGCTTCGGGACCTCTTCGCCACTGACCTGCGCCGCCACCGCGGCCGCCACGACGGCAGTCCACCTGAGGAGCAGAGTTCGGAGGTAACTCCTGGGAAGTCTTCGTCAGAACGTTACACGGCTATTAAGCTCGATTCAGTGGCCACTGAGCCGGATTGAGCCTGATTAAGCCCGGGATGGAGCTGGATTAAGCGGGGCGCAGCCCGATTATGCGGGATCAAGCCAGAGCAAGCGGGAATAGAGCAAATCAGACCAGCTTTCGATCATGGGTTAGACTGCCGCCGATTCAGAACCTGACCTCCCAGGAGCTGATTCCAGGGCAGAGGGAGCGCACCCGCACCACACAGCCCAGAGCGCAGAAGCTGGCAGCGTGCACAAGGGAATAGGAGGACGGGGGAAAGCTTCTTAGAAGGAGGCTGCTTCTTAGAAGTCGCCGGCCCTGCATCTATAGAGAAGGCCCGCGCCTCCTAAGAAGCAGCGTCCTTCGACGAAGCCTTGCCCACTCCCCCTAACCCCCTCTGCGCGTGGTTGAGGGTACATTCGCACCCCGCCGCCAAGCCTCACAACCCCACCCAGCCTGGCCAGGGCCGCTCCGGGTCCTTGCATCCCAGGGCCCAGGATGGTCCTGGCCAGGCAACGGGTGGTAGTGTGCAGGTGCCCTCTGCGGAGAGGGGGGGGGTCCTCCTGGTCCTCTTCCTCCTCCTCCTACTCCTTCTCCATCCCGTTTCCTTGTGAATGAATTCTTTCTGTCACACCCGCAGGCCGGTCGAAAGGGCTGGCCAGACGTTTCGCCTGGGACTTCCTCACCACTCATGACCCTGATACTTAAAAACTGGCATCAGTATCACATGTGGACGGCGAGTGGTTTTCAGAATGTGGCTGTCGCCTTCGCGCCGCGCACATTCGTTTCAGAAGGGCTGCTCGTTTTCAACATGTGGCTCTCGCCTGAGCACCGCGCACATTCGTTTTAAACATTTGTTGACGTTCGCGGGTTGAGGGCGGGTCGTTTTCGATATGTGGCTCTCGCCTTTCGCCGCGCACATTCGTGCTAAGCATTTGCGAGGATTTCATGGATCGAGGGCGGATCTTTTTCAAAATGTAGCTCTCGCCTGAGCGCCACGCACATTCGTTCTAAAAACTGGCAAAAACTTCGCGCATCAAGGGCGGGTCGTTTGTTAACATGGCTCTCGCCGTAACACCGCGCACATTCCTTTTTAATACATGCAGGAGTTTCACGGGTTGAGGGCGGTTCGTTTTCATCATGTGGCTCTTGCCTCAACGCCGCGGCCATGAATTCTAAACATTTGCACGGGCTTCTTGGATTGAGGGCGGGTCGTTTTCAAAATGTGGCTCACGCCTTAGCGCAGCGCACATTCGTTTAAAAGATTTGAGAGAATTTCATGGATCGAGAGCGGGCCGTTTTCACAACGTGGCTCTCGCCTCAGCGACGCGCACTTTCGTTTCAAACATTTGCAAGAACTTCACTGGTTGTCATTGTGTTAATGTGCCAGCAACTGTGTTTTGGAACGGTTCAGGGATGTCAGGGTGCACCAGTCACGTCCACTCGCGGTGTTGAAGTCCCATGAATGGCGTTCTAGCGCGATCCAGGATCACCAAGATGTGAAAAACATTCAGGTAAACTCGTGGCGTTGGAGTTCTGAGCATGGTGTTTGGGCACGCTTCAAAATGTTCACACGGTTGTCCCCAAACAGCGCAATTCCCACAGTGGCAATGGCCCCCCTGTAGGGGCTTATAAAGAGGGATCTTGGAGGGAGGGTACATTTCAACATCGTTGATGAGTCTTGGGTTGAAACTCCTCCTCCTCCTCATCATCATCAGCATCAGCATCAGCTTCATCATCATCATCATCATCATCATCATCATCGTCATCGTCATCATCATCATCATCATCGTAATCCATCGTAATCATCATCAACATCAGCATGATCAGCATCATCATCATCAACATCATCATGATCATCAGCATCAGCATCAGCAACATAATCATCATCATCATCATCATCATCACCACCACCAACACCACCACCACCACCACCACCACCATCATCATCATCATCATCATCATCATCATCATCACCATCACCATCACCATCACCATCACCATCATCACCATCACCATCACCATCACCATCACCATCACCATCACCATCACGTCGTCGTCGTCGTCGTCGTCGTCGTCGTCGTCGTCGTCGTCGTCATCATCATCATCATCATCATCATCATCATCATCATCATCCCTCCCTATCCTCCTCCTCCTCCTCCTCCGCCTCCTTCTCCTCCTCCTCCTCCTTCTCCCCCCCCCCTCTCCCTTACCCTCGTCCACCCCCTCCCCCTCCCCCTAGTGACAAGCTTGGCTTGAGCCAGTCTGGCTCGAACCCCAAGCCAACACCTCAAGAACTCTTCGCTCCGAGCACGTCCTCTCCCATCGCGCTTCCGGCATGGAGCGGGAGCGCCGGCGCCGTCGTCCCAACCGCTCTGCAGCGAAGCGCCGCGCCCAGCATGCTCGCGCGAGCAGGCGTGCGGTCATGCGGCTCTTGCACGCGTTCACGGAGGTGGAGCAGCACAGGGGCCAGGATCTGACGCGCCTGGCCCCAGCGCTTCGACAAGCACTGGCTGCGGGTCCTGACCACTCTGCGGATAGAGCTCGACCCGAGCCTCCCCCGGGCCCGGCGCCCGAGGGCGATCAGGCTGGCGCACCGCCAGCGGCAGCGGCGGCCGCTCCAGCGCTCCGCCGCCTCTCCCGCCCCGCCGGGACTGGCTGCCCTGGGGAGGGGCAGCGAGGCGGTGCAGACCGGTGGAGCGGCGGCGAGCGAACCCCAGCTGGCGACCCTCCACCCCGTCAGCAGGTTTCAGCGAACGATGCCGTGCAGGCTGGAACGGTCTCCCGTCGGCTTTCGCGAAGGCGAACGGCGTGGATTCGAGCGGACGCCGCGGCAGCCACTCCAGCTCAGCGGAGCTGGGGTGCCATCCCGACCTCGTCAGAGGCGGCGGCCGCGTTGAATCGGATGACGGCGCAACCAGGGCAGCCACATGCAGCTCCGTCTTCGTCTCCTTCTGGCCTCAGCCATGACAATCGCAAGCATCAGTAATAATCACTCGCTTCATGTATGTGGATGGAGTTTTCGCCCAGGCATTCTGCTCGGGCCCCCTCACATGCCTCAGTCTCCCTCGGCATTGTGTACGTGGTCATGGCGGTGCCGCTTCGGGCAGAGCCTGGACCAGGCCCACTGGGCAAGCAAGGCAGACGACTTTTGTATCCTGTCTTATTGTTCCATCCACATGCTTTACTCGGTGTTTCAGCGGCGGCATATTATATATGACTTGAAGGTTTGCGTATATGTTGTGTCCCTCACTCTGCTCCCGGGCGTCACCGGGTGGAGGCACGTGAGGTTCGTCGTGGGCTTCAGAGGCGCGATTGCTTTCACAGTCGTTGGGGCTTACGTCGCGCAATAGGGTGAACAGTCATGAAATGCCCGCAGCGGAGGCTCCCAGAGTTCATCGTCGCGGCGCTCGGCCTCATCATCGCGGTGCCCATGGAGCTCTGGGGATGTGGGGTAGTCAGGTAGTATCGCACCGCGATGGGGCAAGTTCCCATTCCCATTCCCTCCCCCTTCCTTCCACCTCCTTCCACCATCCTCCTCCTCTCCCTCCTCCTCCTCCTCCTCCTATTCTTCCTCTTATTCCTCTGCTTCCTCTCCCTCCTCCTCCACAATTGCATAATCTGAATGCTACTCTCCTCTCTCCCCTGGTGACGTCCGGTAAATGTCTGGCCCCCCTCCGCGTACTGGCTTTTTACAGACAATATTTCCGGGAATTGGGCTTTCGCTTGGGTTGTTTTTTCAAAATGCTGCTCTCGCTGAAGCGTTGGCCTCATTTTCTGGCTACCGCTCGTTCCGAATCGTATTCCTGCTTCAGCGCTTGGCTCGTGTCCGCGCTTCCGCTCGTTCCGAATCGTGCTCCCGCTGCAGCGCTGGCGTCATTATTTCCAGCGCCATGCCACGGCATGGTTTTCGGTCCTTCCAAATAGGAGTCAACATCTAGCAAATGGCCTCTCGAAAAAACATCAAAGTGATTACACATTAGGTCTCGATTCGAAGATGTGTTGGGCCGCAGAAGCCCCCCCCACCTTGGGGCGTCGCCACGTCATGCTATGGCATGCTACGCGTTGATCTCCAGCACCGTGCTATGCCATGTAATGCTATGCCATGTTGCGACATCCGATTGTGCGAATAGACAATAATCTACGCCATGGACAGGGATGGGAGGGAAGGGAAGGACGTCAGATATGACGCGAGCGAGCCTAGCTTGTCCTGGTTCCCCTCCCCCTCCCCCTTCCCTTCCTCCCCCCACCTTCCTCCAACTCCTCCTCCCCGCCCCCCCTCCTCCTCCTCCCCCTCCTCCTCCTCATCTCTCCTTCCTCTCTTCCTCCTCCTCCTCCTCCTCCTCCTCCCGTCCTCCTCCCCGTCATCCTTCACCTCCACTTCCTGCTCCTGCTCGTGCTCGTGCTCCTCCTCCCCTCCCCTCACCCCCCCCGTCCTCCTTCTCCGCCTCCTCCTCCACCTCCTCCTCTTCCTCCTCTTCCTCCTCTTCCTCCTCCTCTTCCTCCTCCTCCTCCTCCTCCTGACTCCTCCTCTTCCTCCTCTTCCTCCTCTTCCTCCTCCTCCTTCTCCTCCTCCCCCTCCTGGTTCTCCAAGGCAACTAATCCCAGGCAAGAGGTATCATCAACAAGACTTCATGAGTTAGTATTACTAGTAGAATTATTGTTGCTATGATTCGACGTCCTCCTCCTCCTCCTCCTCAACGGGCGGGGCAACTGTATCCTCTTCTGCATGGTGGGCCGGGCGGGGGGGAGAGGTCGGAGTGGGGGGTGGGGGGGGCGGAGGGTAGGGGGGTGGGAGACGACAAAGTCGTGCAACAACGGCGCGTGTTCTACTTTCTGTCACCGCGCGATCCGCTGCATGTTGACCGATCGCAGCTGTCGGGAGACCCAACAGAAAAAAGTACTGAGGGACACATATCCTGGAATCCAGTATCTCTCACAGG